ACTTAACACGCACGAGGTTGCGATTAAACGCACCTCCGCTGCGGTTAACCAACTCTTAGACGTTCTCCAACTAGACTACGCCCATACTCAGCTGACCACACAACTGATGGAGGACATGTTACGTCACCTCAGCTCCTCCATCGAAAACCTAGCCATGGGCCGTATCCCGCCATACCTCGTGCCGCTACCGCTAGTTGAGGACATCCTAGCCGTAGCCACACGGGACGCTGTAACACCCGTGCAAGCCCACTTAGCGTACACGCTGGGCGCTGCAGTCCCCATCTATGTTAATCCTCTAGACCGCGAGGTAGCCTTCCTAGTCACCTTACCGATAGTTCCCGGCGACAAAATCTACCGACTGAAAGGGATCACTAACCTAGGGACCTGGAGGGACAATGCCCACGTCAGAGTCCAGACGCCAGACATAGTAGCCTACCACGACAGCAACCCCAATTTGTACCTAACGCCAAATCTAAGGATGTGCACCCTCACTAAGGACATCCATTACCTCTGCCCCAGCAAACCTTTCGTCAGGGACAGCACAGATGGCATCTGCGGCCTGAGGCCCATGACTCCAGGGAGTCGATGCCCGCGACGGTCACCTCTCGGAAGCAAATAACCGAAACCAGAGCAGAGATTGTAGGGGCACGATGGCTAGTGAACACTCCCCTTAGAACGGCGACCCTGACCTATGACAAACATGACACCTCGTCCCGAGTAAGTCTCCCGGACGAAACCTTCTGGGTCAACGTCCCAACCGACGCTATCCTGCACATAGGCGACCTGGCACTATACCACCTGTACCCAAACCAGTACGAGGCAGAGGTCGAGGTACCAGAGTTCTTTGAGAAAAGGGCCTTGGAACTTCAACCCTCTACCCTAGTCCAAGCCACCTACGAGGGGGCACAAACCGTTGACGTTACGGTCGTAGACAACCTCCTTCAAGAGATTGCCAAGCGACCGACCATCCACCACCAACCAGTGGCCTACTCCTGGGCCGCCCCCGATACAGTCATGGCCATCGCGGTAGGACTCGGGTACGGCCTGACCGTAGCCACGGTCTTCGTCCTAAATAGACGGGTTAGACGAATCCGCGATAGCTTTAACAGGTGCACGGAGGCAATGACGAGACAGATCCGTAGACGACCAAACCGGGGCAACAGCGCCGTCGAGCGTGGCAATTTAAGTCGGCGCCCCCAGGTCAACGAATCAGAGTACGAGGACCTCCAAAGCCACCCACTCGAGACGGTCACTCTTTCTATCACAGAAGGTGAACCAAGGGCCTAAACCCCACTAAGAGTCACCAGCTCAGATCCAAACATATCTACCTCGATACCAAATCAGTCTCCTAGACAATCGTACCTGTCATCCCCGTTTATATAAAGGAAGTTCCCCTCGTAATTAAAGCCCCACTTGCTACGTCATATATTCTTGTAACCCTTATACTCCCCTTTTTGAACGAGCAAGATGGGAAACCCCCAAGTGCCTTAATGACGCTCCTACCCGCTGCCAAGACAGCCACCCTTTTTGATTTTTGAAGTTTCCTATTTTTGTATCCTAGTCCCCTAAAGTAGAAACTCCTGCTACTCTCTTGGCTTGGAACTTTGAGTCTTTCAGACCAAGAGACCCAGGAGTCAGGCGCACCGGCCCAAACCTTAGAGTTCACGGCCGGAGCTCACTCCCTAAAACCCTTGATCCCGGTTAGAACTAGCCTGCAGGGCCAGGACTCGCCTTAGAGAAAACCCGGCCTCGACAAACCAAGCCAGAGGCCCAAGACCCAACCGCCACGAGCCTGGCCCCAGTTAGGCGCTTGCGAATTGCTGAGTCACATTGAGGCGAGGATGTTGTAACATGTCACCACAAATCACGCACTAACACCCGAACAGGCGAGACGACCGACTGAGGACACCCACTCGGCATATCCGACATGACATGCACCTTGTCGGAAGGTGCATCTCTGCCGTGGGGGGGGTATGTAGGGTGAGGAAAAGGGCACGCGCCAATCAGGCGTGAATAGCAGACCGTTTCCGTAAACATGCCCTCCCTAGCTCCTGAGACTTCAAAGTAACTACGGGTTCAATGAAAGGCTAACATTCGCCAGGAACACCCAGAGGGGCAATAAAACAACAGAACAAATATCTTTGTGCCTCTCTGCCTGGCAGAGATCAGAGATCACCCATCTGCTCTCAATCCCGGGCATTCCTGTCCCTGGACACTCTGAGATTCCCCCACGGCGCTCTGGCGCCCCCCAGTGGATACTGGACGCCATCACACCCGAGGCGGACACTCGAAAAGGACATTATTCGGTGATATTATGTTGATAACCGTTACAGACCTTACATGTGTGTATCAATGTCAAGTAATGAAATACGGTGTGTGTTTGTACATGTGTTATGATCATTTGCATCAATCCGATGTGTTTCCTTTGCAAAATGTCTGTTGTGAAGGGGTTTGTCCACAGAGAGGAGGACGGCAGGGACACGCCTCCCCTGGGAAGTCAATATAAACTCTCACAACGCAACAAACGGCTTCTTGTCTTATCCTGAAATCACTATTCCAACTTCCCTGGCCATCTGCGTCCCACGGCACGTGTCTCCTACTACGGCCGCGCCAGCACGCATCGGGCCTTCTACTCCGCAACACACACTCCCCTCTGGCCCGGGACCTTATGAACTGTTCCATCACCAGCCTCTTTCCCTGGCTCTGGACTCTACGCACGCAACCCATTCCGGACTGGGCTGTATACGCGTGGACCAGCAGCTGGACCAAACTCGCTGGCTTCGTACCTCCCGCCTGCCCAGACAAAGAAACCACGTGGGCTGATTCCCAACCCAAATCCTTTCTCCATCCTCTACGCTCCTACAAAGTAAGACTGTTCCTTGTTAAATGTGCGATTTGAATGAGATGTTCACTTAAATGTGACCAGAAATCCCTTTTCGTTATATTTTTATCTTCATTTTTGTAATCAATAAAACCCCTTTTCTTTAACTCAATCCTATCAGAGTCGTGTTGTTAGATTTCGGCATATCCCTGGCCGATTTTCGTACTCAACCCATCAGATTTGTGATACTGGTATCGAGGCAAATACCCTGGGTCTGTCGTAGACCCTCAACCGTCTACTGGTGCCCAAAATAAATAAGACAGATCCATTGGTGGAACGGCGAGTTTCTGATCCGGAGACTAGCCGCTCCACACTACTAAATTTATAGCTTACTGTAGTATTATTACCCTACAATACCTATAGGGCAGGATAAGTAGATAAGTAACATTCTGAAATTGCAGTATTGCACATTGCACATGATTACAGTATTTACTTATTTACAGGTGACACAAGGATATTTATTAACATTTCTGGACATTGGTTATCCGCCCCCTATGGATTAGTGACTTCTATTTGTTTGTTATTATTGCATTTCCTGTATTTGAATTTCCTTTCATTCTCTGATCTGTGTTGGCGAATAGACAACTTTGTCATAAAACGAGGACTGAGGCTCCTAGGTGGGGAGGGAGGGGGGATACAGCTCATGAGTCCAGGCCGTGGATGAAAAAATAAATAATTGAAACTTGATTAATGACACAGCACAAAGTCTGCGCGCTGAATAAAGTCATCTCAAATTCCAGTTTCAGGTGTTATATCTCCCCGTGCCTTTAGGTCACATTTACACTTTCTAACAGCCGTACAGCTTTTGACAAGACACAGAGAGGTTGGAAATGCCAAGCCAATCACCTTATGAAAATAGAAATTGATTAAAAAGCTAAAAAAGAACAAGCAGAGCATTACCTTTCCACTGCGTATCCACAAGGAGAGAATTCCTTATGCCTGAGCTGTGTGAGTCACTGTTTGTGTTAGCTTTGGCAACGTTAGCTTAAGGCGTCTTCTACAACTTACTTCCAGCCTTGAGAGTGTTCGACCACAGGGGGAAGAAAAATCTCCATGTTGCTTATGGCCTTCTGCTCCTGAGTGGTCTCTCTCTGGTCTCTCTTGGGTCTCTCTCAGGTCTCTCTCTGGTCTCTCTCTCTGGTCTCTCTAGTCTCTGTCTGGCCTCTCTCTGGCCTCTCTCTGGTCTCTCTCTGGTCTCTCTCTCTGGTCTCTCTTGGGTCTCTCTCAGGTCTCTCTCGGGTCTCTCTCTCTGGTCTCTCTTGGGTCTCTCTCAGGTCTCTCTCTGGTCTCTCTCTCTGGTCTCTCTAGTCTCTCTCTGGTTTCTCTCTGGTCTCTCTCTCTGGTCTCTCTAGTCTCTCTCTGGCCTCTCTCTGGTCTCTCTCTGGTCTCTCTCTGGTCTCTCTCTGGTCTCTCTCTGGTCTCTCTCTGGCCTCTCTCTCTGATCTCGCTCGCTGATCTCTCTCTCTGATCTCTCTCTCTGGTTTCTCTCCCTCTGGCCTCTCTTTCTGGTCTCTCTCTCTGGCCTCTCTTTCTGGTCTCTCTCTCTGGCCTCTCTCTCTGGCCTCTCTCTCTGATCTCGCTCTTTGATCTCGCTCTCTGGTCTCTCCCTCTGATCTCTCTCTCTGATCTCTCTCTCTGCTCTCTCTCTCTCTTATCTCTCTCTCTGGTCTCTCCCTCTGATCTCTTTGGTCTCTTTCTCTGGTCTCCCTCTCTGGTTTCTCTCCCTCTGGCCTCTCTTTCTGGTCTCTCTCTCTGGCCTCTCTCTCTGATCTCGCTCTCTGATCTCTCTCTCTGATCTCTCTCTCTTATCTCTCTCTCTGGTCTCTCCCTCTGATCTCTCTCTCTGATCTCTCTCTCTGGTTTCTCTTCCTCTGGCCTCTCTTTCTGGTCTTTCTCTCTGGCTTCTTTCTCTGGCCTCTCTCTCTGCTCTCTCTCTCTGCTCTCTTTGGTCTCTTTCTCTGGTCTCCCTCTCTGGTTTCTCTCCCTCTGGTCTCTCTCTCTCTCTCTCTCTGAACAAGTGGGGCATTACCGAAGACAGAATTCCTTATGCCTGAGCTGTGTGAGTCACTGTTTGTGTTAGCTTTGGCAACGTTAGCTTAAGCCGTCTTCTACAACTTACTTCCAGCCTTGAGAGTGTTCGGCCACAGGGGTAATGGTGGGAAGAAAAAGCTCCATGTTGCTTATGGCCTTCTGCATGGCCACGTCAAACACGCACAGTTGGGGGCGCCACTCGTCCAGCATCTCCTGAGTGGAAGAAGCCGGGAAATACCTTGGAGGGAAATGCACGAAGCGAAACAGTTAAGAATGAATTTGGGATTAAATACGATTATAGCAAGAACTTACAGGCGGCAGCTTTTAACCAGCGCTTTGAGGATGTGGTCCAATGAGCTGCAGGACAAGCAGAGATTTTATTATTCATTTTTTTCAACCTTTAGTTAACCAGAAAGTCCCTGGTGAGTCTCGCTCTGGTCTCTCGCTCTGGTCTCTCGCTCTGGTCTCCCTCTCGCTCTGGTCTCGCACTCTGGTCTCTCGCACTCTGGTCTCTCGCACTCTGGTCTCTCGCACTCTGGTCTCTCGCGCTCTGGTCTCTCGCACTCTGGTCTCCCTCTCGCTCTGGTCTCTCGCTCTGGTCTCTCGCACTCTGGTCTCTCGCACTCTGGTCTCTCGCACTCTGGTCTCTCGCACTCTGGTCTCTCGCACTCTGGTCTCTCGCACTCTGGTCTCCCTCTCGCTCTGGTCTCCCTCTCGCTCTGGTCTCCCTCTCGCTCTGGTCTCTCACTCTGGTCTCTCGCACTCTGGTCTCTCGCACTCTGGTCTCTCGCACTCTGGTCTCTCGCACTCTGGTCTCTCGCACTCTGGTCTCTCGCACTCTGGTCTCTCGCACTCTGGTCTCTCGCACTCTGGTCTCTACTTTGGTCTCTCTCACTCTGGTCTCGCACTCTGGTCTTTCTGGTCTCTCTCTGGTCTCTCTCTGGTCTCTCTCTGGTCTCTCTCTGGTCTCTCTCTGGTCTCTCGCTCACTCTTTGGTGTCTCTCTCGCTGGTCTGTCTCTCTGGTCTCTCTCTCTGGTCTCTCTCGCTCACTCTATGGTGTGTCTCTCTCTCTGGTTTCTCTATTTCTGGACTCGATCCCTGGACTCGATCCCTGGACTCGATCCCTGGACTCTCTCTATACAGGAGTCTACATTAACACTATAGACCCAATCCCAAACAGAAACATATACAAATGAACATTGAGTCTTACTTGGGAAACCAGACAAGTCCGAGGTGCTCTGTTTTGGAGTAGACCACCCTCTCGTAAAGGTCGTACAGTGGTCTCCATGGCAACTGTAAGTCATCCCGGGACAGCAGCTCCTTCTTCCTGTTTCCAAAAAAAGAGAGATCCAGCCGCTAATTAACGAGTGTCCATCTACTTAATGAGCGTTGCTATGGTTGCGGGCGAGTCTGACAATGTTTAAAAAGTGCTAATTAAAAAATCAAAGTGTAATTTGAATGTTAGAGTCGGTGCTCTCCGCAGAGAATATGAACAAGAAGCTTAAAGGGAATCTTTTTTTGTAATTACAAAACCTGGATTGATAAGAGCCCTAAAGTTGATTTTTAAACAGACCAATCAAGTTGAAAGTCACCTGCTTCACCTTTAACATCTGTGGAGCCAGGAGCTGAAGACAAGGATCAATAATGAGGAGAATGTTGAAGCTGCTTCTCAAAAGTCCCAGAATGTGTGTAAAAATTATCACTTTTTTTTTATTTATTCACAAACCACAACAACAGAACTTTACAAGATTTTTGATTTTCCAATTAAACAATGTCTAAAACCAGTCTAGTCAGGTCTAGAACCGGTATAGAACCCATCCAGGACCCGTCTATAACCAGTCTTGAACCAGTCTAGAACCATTCCAGGACAAATCTAGATTAGGTCGAGAACCAGTCTAGAACCAGTCTAGAACCTGTCCAGGACCCGTCTATAACCAGTCTAGAGCAAGTCCAGAACAAGTCTAGAACACGTCCAGGATCAGTCTAGAACCAGGCAAGAACCAGTCTAGAACCCGTCCAGGACCCCTCTAGAACCAGTTTAGAACTAGTTTAGAACCATTCCAGAATCAGTCCAGATTTGGTCCAGGACTAGTCTAGAACCAGTGTATATAGGAGAGACCAGTGAGCAGGCTGATGCAGTAGTCTAACCCACAGGAGACAAAAGCATGGAGAAGAATCTCTGCTTTGGAAACTATAATCTTGATTCCGGTTATGTTTTTTCAGATTTCTGATTTGATGTCAGTCTACACTAATATACTGTCTATGTTTTTAACTCCATGATGTTCACTCTGCCTGATTAGTCCAAACTCGGGGCACCAGCAGAAGGTCGGTCCCTGTGTTCCTCCAGAGCCCCAGCAGGTGGCCACACACTGCGTCCCAGTTGGTTCATACGGCGCTAACATGTCACAGATGTACTTTGGTTTGAGGCCATGGAGAGACTTATACACAAACAGAGCTGCTTTAAACTCTATTCTCTGAGCCACAGGAAGCCAGTGCAGAGACCTAATAAAAACAACTATTATCCTTGCATACAGGATTTCCATGTTTAACCAGGACAAAAAAAACCCCATCTCTACATACAATACAACATGTACAGCACCAGAGTTTGTGATGGAGGCCTACATTAATAGAGTGTTTGTATTGAAAGCGCTCGAGTGCATATGAAAAAGGCAGATTGAGTTAGTAATCCGTGTGTGCCTACGGGCTGATGACAGGCGGCTCACAGACTTGTCCACAAACAGAGCAGCGTTTTATACCAGAGCACTGATGCACATCTAGACTGGCAGCAAAGACATGATTCATTTGCAGGTGCAGACTCTTTCGGCTCAAAAATATTCCCAAAATGGAGAGAGAGAGAGAGAGAGAGAGAGAGAAAGAGACTGGGGAAATGTGGAGTCTCTGACTTTCATAACACTTTTAAGCAACTTTTGTTAAAGTTAAACTCATCATTCTATCAATGTGCAGAAGCCAGTACTTTTCCCTTGTTTTGTCTATCTGAAGGCCAAGCTACATGGCACTGTGGAAGCTGCTGATTGGAGGTCTCCATGCCTCCGCTCTGTATAATACACTTGCATTCTGTTGTTCGTGTTGTTCGTGCTGTCTCTACCATCGACAATAAAACATGTCTTCTGTCTGAATTAAAGACGCGATCCCAGACTATGTCATCTTCTTCATGACGCATATTAAATACAATGTAAGTTTAGTTTGATGTGGTATATTCTTCTCTGTTTATGCGCTGTCTCTCTGGTCTCTGTCTGAATTCTCTCTGGTCTCTCTCTCTCTGGTCTCTCTCTCTGGTCTCTCTCTCTCTGGTCTCTCTCTCTGGTCTCTCTCTCTGGTCTCTCTCTCTGGTCTCTCTCTGAATTTTCTCTCTCTGGTCTCTCTCTGAATTCACTCTTTCTGGTCTCTCTCTGGTCTCTCTCTGGAATCTCTCTGGTATCTCTCTGGTCTCTCTCTGGTCTCTCTCTCTGGTCTCTCTCTGGTCTCTCTCTCTGGTCTCTCTCTGGTCTCTCTCTCTGGTCTCTCTCTCTGGTCTCTCTCTGGTCTCTCTCTGGTCTCTCTCTGAATTATCTCTCTCTGGTCTATCTCTAAATTCTCTCTCTCTGGTCTCTCTCTAGTCTCTCTCTCTAGTCTCTCTCTCTAGTCTCTCGCTCTGGTCTCTCTCTCTGGTCTCTCTCTCTGGTCTCTCTCTCTGGTCTCTCTCTCTGGTCTCTCTCTCTCTGGTCTCTCACTCTGGTCTCTCTCTGGTCCCTCTCTCTCTGGGCTCTCTCTGGTCTCTCTCTCTCTCTGGTCTCCCTCTGGTCTCTCTCTCTAGTCTCTCTCTCTAGTCTCTCTCTCTGGTCTCTCTCTCTAGTCTCTCTCTCTGGTCTCTCTCTCTAGTCTCTCTCTCTCTGGTCTCTCACTCTGGTCTCCCTCTGGTCCCTCTCTCTCTGGTCTCTCTCTCTCTCTTGTCTCTCGCCCAATCAACAAGTTGCATACTTTACATGTTTCTTTTGTGCCATCCTTTCTTTCTAATGAGAAATATTGCAGCACTTGTTCTAACTAGTCGCCACAGGAACACCACTCTGAATTTTTTTCTGTAACTGAACTTTCAAATATTGCGTGCTCAGTTGCCGTAAACAACAACAATATCACGACAACAGCTGTAAAGATCGGCGAGTGGATCGGGCAGTTTAGGTCAAAAAACATGAAATATCGGCTGGATCCCAATCTGGAGATCGGATCAGGACATCTCTAGCTACTTCCTGCAGTATCTAATAGAGTCTGCATCCTTCCTTCGTTCCAGATACATTGAAAATAACGGCAGCTTTGCAATTTGTGAAAGGTGACTATAAAAAAATGCAATCCCACTGTTTGCAAGTCTGTATTTCACGGTGACAAATTGAGCAATAACAAAACATAGACCTTGTTTTACTGTAATCGAAAAAACAAGGAAACAAGGCTCACTGCGTATATATATATTTATGCTGATGTCGCGGGCACTGGGCAGCGTTATATTAAACCAGCGCCTGGAAAAAAAAAACAAAAAAAGTGAAATTGACCTTTAAAAAGTGATGACTCATGGATCAGGCTCCTGTCCTGCGTTCACCTTGTTTAGCTTGAACTCTGCACATAATTTTATGCCTTAAAAACTGGAAAACCTCGCAGAAACTATGACGCCACACTTTCCTCCAGGCCTTGCATTCCTCCTGTCTACTCCTCTCACATCCATCCAGAGACAAGCAACACTTCTCCACGACCGGGTTTGAAAAATGAACGCAGAGGCACCGAGCATTAGGAAAATGGCGGAGAAAATATATAAAAAATGACTCTTGGGACTTGATGTTGGGGGTGTTAGATTGATCCACGCTTGCTTTCGGAGTCCCAGGCTACGGTAATATATAAGCCTTACCCTGGATCTTTCCGTTTTAATTTAAATGGAAGCGCTCCGACAAATGACTGGAGCATTAAGACGTTGTTTTCTGATGGATGTGGGGAATGATGGTAACAAGTGAAGACGAATGGGTTTGTGTCTGGCCGGGGATTCTCCTGCTGCTGCCGTAGTGAGTGGCAGATTGGATCAAAAACGGCAAACAAAATAGGCCAGAGAGGTATTCCATAGTGAGACTGCTTAATGAGTTATTTACAACTGTGTTCTACATGGAGGTGGCTATGCAGGGAAGAAAGTAGTTTTGATCTACTGTAGCACACAGCCTAAGTCCTCGTTCTACAGCCTGAGTTCTGAATCTACAGCCTCAGTCCTGGATCTACAGTCTCAGTCCTGGTTCTACAGCTCCAGTCCTGGATCTACAGCCTCACTCCTGGATCTACAGTCTCAGTCCTGGATCTACAGCCTCACTCCTGGATCTACAGCCTCACTCCTGGATCTACAGCCTCACTCCTGGATCTACAGTCTCAGTCCTGGATCTACAGTCTCAGTCCTGGATCTACAGCCTCAGTCCTGGTTCTACAGCCTCAGTCCTGGATCTACAGCCTCAGTCCTGGATCTACGGCCTCACTCCTGGATCTACAGTCTCAGTCCTGGATCTACAGCCTCACTCCTGGATCTACAGCCTCACTCCTGGATCTACAGTCTCAGTCCTGGATCTACAGTCTCAGTCCTGGATCTACAGCCTCACTCCTGGATCTACAGCCTCAGTCCTGGATCTACAGCCTCAGTCCTGGTTCAACAGCCTCAGTCCTGGTTCTACAGCCTCAGTCCTGGTTCTACAGCCTCAGTCCTGGCTCTACAGCCTCAGTCCTAGATCTACAGCTTGAGGTTATTGATCAAAAGAATTGTCTTCCAACTAATCGTAACATATAACTATCCAAATGAGCCTATAGTTGAAAACAGTGGTGTACAGCTGAAAAATACAAATCTAAACTCCTAGTCTTAAGCTCGTAGCCAATTTCTCTCTAATTTCTGGACCAACTAACATGAAACAAATCACATGAATCACAAAATTTCACATGGTGTTTGTCAAAAGATATCCACTATGGTCTTATTATTTTCTCATAAACAAAATCGAAAATATATGCATGATGTGGACCAGTACAAAAGACGTTGAGACATAGGAATAATACGGCAAGTTTGTGAATCTATATTTCTTCAAAAACTGTCTTCTTTCCTATACAGTTACCACCAGTCCTACAGCTACAAAGAATTCTCGAGAATGAGAATTGAAACGAAAAAAACGGAGGAAATGATTCTTGCCTTTGATTTTTAGGGGAACTGTAGTAAGTAACCACCGATCGCTCTTCAAACACCAGAGACAAAAGCGAGGGAGGGTAAGCTATCCGAGCCTCTGCAGTCCTTTAAAAGCTCTAAACTACAGTCAAAACGAGACCCTGGAGACAAATCTATTCACATTATATGGGAGCAGCTGCCTGAGAAATATCCCCATCATTTATAACAGAGACACAGGATTTTGAAATGACCGAAGTCCATTTGATGCAATGAAGTATTTGGAAGATTTACATAATGATAAAATATGCTCATATGAGGTAAGTGGTTCCGTCTGGTACTTGGAAATCCAATTATTATGTGTTAGCAGAATCCACAGGCATATTTTAAGTGGTAAAACTAGAAGCACTGAAGATGAAAAGTAGAATTTGCCGTCTGAAAGCGTTGAGATGGTCTGCAGAGGGGACCCATTCATTCAAAGCGAGTTTACATCCTGCTATTTTGACCTGAGGCAGCACATTATGTTCAAAACCATTGTGGTGAGGTAGCTTTAGACCTGTAGGCAAAGGTTTTTACTCGAGGCACAAGATGAAATTAAAACTTATTATTTCAGGTTGTTTGGGTTGGTTAGAAAACTTCACAGAATTATTAAGAGTCTGTATTGTTTAAGGGTTTCTGGACAAATGGCTTGAGGACAGTTAAGCTATAAGAATTTCATTTAATTTTTATTACATTTATTTTCAGGTTTATACAGGATTTGGTTGTTTGACTTTTCAAATGCAGATCTTGAACATACATATTTACATAGACAGATATTTTGGTGCAGCATCTTGAGTGTCAGAATATACAAAATAGAACCACATGTGTCACTGTTGCTCTAGATTTAGATCAAAGTCAGAATCTGAATTATTTTTATTGCCATTGTAAGTAACAGGAAGTCACAAACCAGGAATTTACTTTGGCTCGAGGTGCAAACTATAGTTGTAAGAAAGTAAAGGCAAAAACATCTTTAAAGGTAAAGGTAAATGTAAAGGTGCACTTCATTAATCCCCGTAGGGCAATTCATCCTCTGCCTTTGATCCATCCTGACTCCGCTAAGGTTTACGTCAGGAGCAGTGGTCGCCGTAGTAACAGCGCCCGGGAACCCATCTCCAGATGTTGATGCTCAGCTTGGTCAGGACTACCGGAGCTGGAGGATTTTACCTAGTGAGCATGATTTTAGTGGTAGGGGAAACCGGAGTACCTGGAGGAAACCTACGCAGGCACGGGAGAACATGCAAACTCCACTCAGAAAAGCCCTGAACCGACCAGGATTCGAACCCAGGACCTTCTTGGTGAGAAGCGGGAGTGCTACCCTAATCTTAAGCAAAACACTTAGGTTGGATTGGATTTTTAAAGTGAACTTCGTAAGAGTTTTTAACGATTTATGTTATTCTTTTTAGTATAGATCTGTGTTCATTTTTCTTATCCTGTGTGCTCCTCATTCCTACTGTTCTGTAACTGGTGATGCAACACTGGAATTTCCCCCTCTGTGGGACGAATAAAGGATCTTCTTCTATCTATTTGTCTCCACATACTTGAGCAGCAGGATGAGAAGGCGGGCGTAGCTTTGCGTCATGAACGGCTCCAGGTTTGGGAGCGTCACCAACTCGTACAGTAACTTCACGAACAGGATGTGGTCGTCTTTACTGAAGCGGCGTCCGTACAACTTCAGGAACCTGCCGGAAGAAACACAGCCGTTACCGAGAGAAGTGGTTCCACGCCGATGCAGGAGGGTCTATGGACAGTGATGATGATTAGTTCAACTTTTTTCCCCCCATTATACACTATGCTCTCCTTGTGTCATCCATCCATCCATTTTCTTCCCCGAAATCCATTTCTGGGTCGGGGGGAAGTAGTCAGAGCTGCATTCAGTACACAGAGCACCAGCCCCTTACTGATCCTCCTGCAGGTGGTGAGTCCACAGGGACCCCACTTGGGTCAAAAAAAAAAAAAAAACACAAAAGAAATATTATTTTTTGTTTTGTTTTGTTTTATATTACTTTTTTTTTTACCAATGATGTCAAAAAAGTATAAGAAAACAACAGGAAAAAAATCTATAAAATAAAGGCACGAAACAAAGAAAATATATAGAAAAATATAAATAGATTTTGAGAGATTAATAGATTTCTATAGCTCTATATGTTATTTACCAACATGACATCAACATTCTTCAATATTAATAACAAAATGTGATATGTTGGCTTATTCAGTCATCCTCCACTGTCTTCATTTGCATCTGTTTCTACTTTCATTCCCTCTTTTTAACATTTATGGACATCGGTCATCTGCCTCCTATGAACCAATGTTTCTTTCTATTAAATGTCCTGTGTCCGAAGTGTTTGAATGTCTGATCTGCTGTTGGTGAATCAGCAACAGTTGCTGCTGTGATTTAGGGCAGAACAAAAAGAAACTGAATTGAATTGTATACTGAAACTTTAGGTTTGTCGCACAGATGCTATATTAACCTCATATCTTAATGACCATGTAACTGCTGGAGAGAGAGAGAGAGAGAGAGAGACAGAGAGAGACAAAGAGAGAGACAAAGAAAGAGAGACAGAGACAGAGAGAGAGACAAAGAAAGAGAGACAGAGAGAGAGACAGAGACAGACACAGAGAGAGAGAGACAGAGACAGAGAGAGAGACACACATAGAGAGAGTGACAGAGACAGAGGCAGAGAGAGAGACAGAGACAGAGAGAGAGACAGACACAGAGAGAGAGAGAGAGAGAGAAATGTTTTGGGGGAAATTACTGTGGTGAAATAACAAATAATATAAATCAAACTAGCTAAAATTGGTTATTGTTTGGACAAAAGGGGCCTCAGCTTTAGCGCTAAACTCCACTTAGCCACTGGTCCTTGTTTCAGAAAGCTGTGTCATTGTATCGGACAAGTGGAGGCAGAGAACAGAACATTACTAAGCATTTCCGCTTTACATCCAAATAAAATCGTCCGTTTCAGACTGGACGGTGTAAAGGTCGTGTAAGCCGTCGGGTTTTGAGAAGAGCTCAGAGTTCAGGAAGCCACATAATAATGGTATCACATAAAACTCTGGAATAGCAGACAGTACAGTCTATTTAAAAATAAAAATAAAAACTTATTCTTACTACTTTAGTCTAAGGGCTCGTTCTCACGTGTTGGTCTGGTTTACTTTAGGCCAAAACAAGTGGAAATGTCTAGCTTAATATTCAGTCTGTCATGATAAAAAACCGATTACATTTTATCATTTTTGTTGCATACAATGGGATACCATAGGGCTGCCAGTTGCTAATTTACTGTAAATTAGACAAACTCTATAATAACTGGATGATGGAGAAAATATGAGACCAAATCATTGTAAATCGTTAATAATTCAATGTCTCGCTGGCTTTGATGCTAATGTGATGTATTCAGAGCAAATGCTAATAGCAGGGGTCAAGATTCTGTCACATTAGCATAGCAGCTAGCATCACAGGCTCCATGTGTGGGCCTGGGTAAACAACCGCATGTGCAGGGTATGAATTATAAACACTTGCGTTCCACCACGACTTGGTCTCTCATTAACGCTGGGTTACCTTTTTTATTCCAATAGAAGGAGTATTGTTAGTATTAGCAAGAAAGTGCTAATAGTTACAATACTGAGCGAGAGTTCGTCCTCTCTTTTCACACTTTTCTGTCTAAAAAAGCGGAGTTATAGATGTGACAGAGGCCAAAAAAGTATTAACAGTCTTGAGGGCGAGGAACTAGTTTCATGGGATTTATGACGTAGTTAAATGTGTATGTGGTGCTTTGGGTTGTGACCTATTGGCTCTGTCTCTAGCCCAGGGGTGTCCAAACTTCTTAGAAAGCAGGCTACTTTAGGTCAAGGTGTAATAAAATGTCTTTATTGGTTCACGTTTCACTAAGCTGAAGTTGGCTGAACGACAAATGTTTACTCCCCAAAGACATTAGTGCCATACAATCAAAGAAAGTAAGTAAGCGTTATTTATAAAGCACATTTCTAAAGACATTTGTAAAGTGCTTTCAATGAAAAGGTCATTGAAAGCACAATGTTCAGACTTCAGATATTGTTCCATTCTCTGCAGACGCGGCGATGTTTTTAGGGGAAGGGAAACCGGCACGGAAAACCGGAGCACACGGAGGAAACCGGAGCACACAGAAGAAACCTACGCAGACACGAGGAGAACATGCAAACTCCACTCAGAAAGGCCCTGTTCCGACGGGGATCCGAACCCTGGATCTTCTGGGTGTTGCCCGAGTATATTAGAACAACATTTCTACACTGGCAGCGCTGAAGTTAGCTGGATGACTATGTAAACTTGTGTTGATGGTTACTTTGAGTTAGCAAGGCAGAGGACCGGGTGCAGATACGCAGAGGACCGTAATTTGCTCGAGGGCCTTAGTTTGGACACCCCTGCTCTAGTCTACGCCAGTGTAAAGACAACAGAGATTCATGCTGCTAAAATCCAGAACAATCTTCCCGAATATGTGAGACGGCTCGTTCTCTGATAATGGTTAAATCCAGGATAAAAGCAGTCCTGTTTAGCTGTGCAAACAACTTAAGGATTTTATATTTTTATCTTTCTCTTTAATCTACTGTTATTAGCTTCCTGTTCTGGAGGTTCTTTATAAATCCAGACTTTTAAACAGAGCTCTTAGAATTATCAACGACTCTTCTGGCCACCCTGGAAAAGCCATGTTCCAGCTTCTTCCCTCTGGCAGAAGATATCGTTCTCTGAGGTGCAGGACATCTTTTTATGCTAAAAGTTTTTTTACACAAGCTGTCATCAGTTTGAACAGGGCACTTTAATGATCTTGCACTTGTATAGAAACTGTTTTCGTCGGTCAATTTCATAGTGACATTGTTTACTTTGTTTTTTTTTTCTGTACTTTTAATGTTGTTTTATGTCTGTACTTGTCTTCTGCACACTGGGAACTTTTGCTAATGTATTCCAATGTGTTTTTACTGCAAATGGTTAAATGAATCTGATTGATTATTGTGAATAACTTCTGTGACTGTTTCTATCTTGTTTTGTTCAGCACTTTTGAGTTGCCTTGTCTATGAATTGTGCAGTACAAATAAACTTGCCTTGCCTTGTGTGCATGGATGCTGAATGTGCATTATTCACCACAACATGCACGTATTACTAGTTTTTCTATCAATGCCACTTACGAGAATAGTTTCCTGCACCAGAAGGCGGTCCCGGGCCACAGTTCTCGCACCAGCACGGCCCGGGACAGGTTGGCTTTGATATCCGCCAGGAGCTGATTGGCCTCGGGCTCCAGGCGGTCCGCGTAAGGCAACAGGGCATTGTACACGATCTCCTTCTGCAGGACGAGCCCCTCCTTCTCCGGCGTGTCCTCCTCCATTACCGTCGTGGGATTTGTTGTTGTTGTTGTTGTTGTTGTTTTGGTCGTAGTTGTCATTTCCCGCCAAATTTCCAATTCGGCTTTCCAGCTGATCGCGCGCATTCAAAAGTGAGGAGAATGTTCTTGGAAGTAGCTGGGCATAATCCAAGACGGTGTCCAAGGCGGAAGGCAGGCGATCACTGAAGGAAAGTGTGTCACTCTATAATTGAGCTGCATGTTAATCCTCCAGGCAGCACGGCGCTCTGGTCCACGGTCCATGCTCTGGGTCCAACCGCGTCACCGCCTCCTTCATCTGCAGCGCCCCGGGTTTGACCCCAGGCCCAAAGATGCTGGGTGCTAGTAATGTAGATCTACTGTAGAACAATCAGAGGTAGTGCAGTAATACAGGTTTATTATTATTATGTACTATTATTTATTTTTTATTTAATTTATTGTGGTATTGTATTTCTTTATTTCACAAGACAGCATTTCAGGAAGTAAAATTCATCCTTTTCCCCCCCATATTTTATTGTCATCAAGCATTTACATTACAAATCAGGGTACATACAATGTTACAATTAAATAATTGTTTTAGAAAAATGGAGAAGTGTAAAAAGAACAGTTTGTTAAACGGGCAAGGCATTTTAAAATAGTAGAGATTTTAGCATTTTTTTCATACATTAGTAAAGTTTTTCTATTATTTTTAGAGACAAGATGCAAGGACTTAAAATATTCAACAACAACATTTAGAAAAACCGACATAAGTCCTCCATCCATTCTTTTTCTACCCCTTAATCCACTTCTGGGTCGAAGGGGCCAGAGATGCCACCCAGAACACATAGCATGTTTCATCATTCATTCAAAACAAAAAAATAGGAAATTAATTGAAAAAAATCCATCTGATGGGGTTTTTTTTTTTAGATTAGTAGATTTGCAGACCCCTGTGGGTGTTCATGTATATTATGTTCCCTATTTTTATGTGTGCAATCATTACAAGGTTGTATTGATGAGAAATGTATTTTTTGCACACAAACATAAACAAATAAAATAATGAACATACCATAATTTCTGAACTACTACTTTTTTTTCTAGTTATTTAAGTATATATAGGACACTGGTTTATTGTCAGAACAGAGGGAGGTGAATGAGTCATCGAAGCTAACAATGAAGCTGTAAAACACCTCGTCACTAAATCATGTTGTGACCAATTAATCCAATCCAATCCAACTTTATTCATAAAGCACTTTAAAAACAACAGCGTCGACCAAAGTGCTGAACACAACAATGAGGATTACATTAATAAAACAGTAAAAACAAAAGTACAAAACATTCCAAAGTCGAACTTCTCAGGTTGTGTTAAAAGCCAAGGAAAAAAGGTGTGTTTTAAGAGAGGATTTAAAAGGAACAAGAGTGTCTGTCTGAGGTGCAGGGGCAGTGCGTTCCACAGTTTAGGACCAGCAACAACGAAAGAACGGTCGCCTCTGGTTTTTCTTTTTGTTTTGGGAACAACCAGCAAAGACAGATCTGCTGACCTCAGGGAGCGTGCGAGGGGTATAGGGCTGCAACAGGTCAGACAGATACTGAGGAGCAAGACCATGAAGACATTTAAAAACAAATAAAATTATCTTAAACTCAACACGATATGAAAATAGGGAGCCAGTGCAGTGACCTCAAAACAGGTGTAATGTGCTCTCGCCTTTTGGTGCCAGTTAAAAGGCGAGCAGCAGCATTTTGTACAAGTTGAAGTCGAGCGAGAGACGACTGATTGAGTCCAAAATAAAGTGCATTACAATAGTCTAAACGATTTGTGATAAAAGCATGAATTAAAATCTCAAATAAATGCTGAGGAACAAATGATTTTGCTTTGGACAGTTGCCTGAGCTGATAAAAGCTGGACTTTACAACAGATCTGATCTGAACGTCAAGCTTCAGAGCACTGTCCAGGCTTCACACCGAGGTTTGTCACAGTTGGTTTTAAGTATTCTTCTAAAGGACCCAAATCCACAAAAGAGGAGGGGGCATCTTTTGGGCCGAGCAGCAAGACCTCAGTCTTTTTGTCATTTAAATGTAGAAAATTTAGTGACAGCCATTCATGAACTTCCTCAATACACTTCAAAAGTTGTTGCTTTGTACAATATCCATTGCCATGTTCCAACGGTAAATAAATCTGGCTGTCATCAGCATAGAGATGGAAAGCAACATTGTGCTTACGCAAGATGCACCCGAGTGGCAGGAGGTATAGTGAGAACAGAAGAGGGCCAAGTATAGAGCCCTGGGGCACACCATATTTTATGGGAGCAGTGGCGGACTCTACATCTCCGATTCGAACACAAAAACTCCTGTGCGTAAGGTAGGACCTAAACCACTTAAGGGGGCACTACCACGAATTCCCACCCAGCTCTCCAAGCGAGACAGAAGTATCTGATGATCTATTGTGTCGAAGGCTGCGTGTAGTGACTATTTGTCAAAAAATAGACTATCAAACCAAATGTAATCAAACTTAAGAACGAACTCAAATAATCACTAGAATGCACCATGGGTAAGTGGTTTACGCAGTACAAAAAATAAACAATTGTCCATTCCAAAAAATGTAAAGTTCAAAAAGGGTTTATTCATCAAGTTTCATGCAGGCAAACAACACAAAAATGCTGCATCTCCCAGAACTGGTAAAAAACCATAGGCCCACCCAGGTGCATGAAGGCCCGCCCTGTACTGCCCCCTTATATCCCCTAGGTGCCACTAAACCAAAAAACTAAACCGAACTGAAGTAAACCCAAAATAATCTACAAAAATATCTAAATTACCAAAAAACAAAAATACTAACCTCAGCAAAAAATTACTAAATATTGAAAAAATATACAAAACCCCAAATAATTAAATCAATCAAGCAAATAGCTCCTACACTCCAGCCCCTAATTGTGCATAAAATCACTATTACTAACTGCACTAAGGAGCTATTCTGACCATGTCAGTTGTTATCTATGTGTAAGTGTATTAGCCTAAGTGAGTTTTACTTCTTAAACCTGAAATAAACAAAGATAGAGCAAGATGAAGAGAGAAGAGAAAGATCGAAACTTTGGTCAAGAGTCCGAAGCCGCTTCCAACAGCAGGCAGAGCTTGGTCACTGGTCTTTCCAACACACTGGTTTTGGTCTTGAGCTGCACAGTACGAACTAGGCCTTTTGAGTCAGTGTTGACTGCCAGGACTCTTCCCATCAGCCAGCATCCTCTAGGGGCAGTGGCATCAGCAACCAAAACTATGTCTCCACAACAGAGATTTCTTCTTGGCCTGACCCACTTTTGCCTTTCCTGCATCATGGGCAAATACTCAGAAATCCATCTTTTCCAGAATATGTCCATCATGTATTGTACTTGTCTCCATCTTTTCTTCAGATACATGTCTTGTTTTTGGAATAGTCCAGGTGGCAAGACTGGCTTTCCCTTTAATGTCAAGATAGAGTTGGGTGTGAGAGCCTCAAGATCTCCTGGATCCTCAGATATTGATGTGAGAGGTCTGTCATTCAAAAATGGCCTCCGCTTCACACAAAACTGTCTGGAGGACTTCATCGTCCACAATCTGCTGCTTGAGGACAGAGGTAAGCACATTTTTAACTGAGCGAATCAAGCGCTCCCAGACACCTCCTTGGTGTGAAGCTGCAGGAGTATTAAAATGCCAATCAATTCCATCTTGCACCAAAGTCCTTTGGATTTTGTCCTGGTTTAAAAGTTGCCAAGCTTTCTTTGAGCTCTTTATTGGCTCCAACAAAATTTTGTGCCATTATCAGACCTGACAGAGGAGACTGGTCCACGTCTGCACACAAATCTCCTGACTGCGTTAATGCAGGAGTCAGCATCCAGTGTGTATGCAACTTCTAAATGGACAGCACGGCTGGTCAAGCATGTAAATATTACTCCATATCTTTTGAGTAGGCTCCTGCCTCTTTTTACATGAATGGGGCCAAAATAGTCTACTCCAACATCTGTAAATGGAGCTTTATTTGGCATCACTCGTTCCAAGGGCAAATCTGACATTTTTTGTTCCATTAACTTTCCTCTGTTTCTTCTGCATGTGACACAATCTGACAGAACCTTTCTTGCAGCAGAGTTTGCACTAACTATCCAGTATTTTTGACGCAGTCTGGACAGCATGTGATTTCTTCCTGCATGGCCCAGCTGATGGTGAATATGGCGCAGTATCAATGTTGAGACATGCATATCCTTACTCAAACAGCAGGATGCTTGGCCTCCATTGGGAGAGCTGCTTTATGGAGACGACCACCCACTCTGAGCACTCCATTGTCCAGCTCTGGATCCAGCCTGTACAAGTTGCTGTCTTTAGAGATTGTTTTATTTGCTTTGAGTTGACAAATTTCAGCTTTGAACTTGTGATGCTGCTCAAATTGAATGATGGCATGCTCTGCATCAATCAGATCTTCACATGTTAAATATTGTCCTTTAATTGAGCTTTTGAACTGCTCCATCTTTTGTGCCACAATTTGCTCTTTGTTTTTATCATTGAGTAAAATATGAAACTCCTTCCTTTTTAGATACAACATTTTTAAAAACCCTTTCATCTTTAAAATCCAAGCCACATTCTTTTTCATTTTAATCCAACATGAAAAGTGTGTGAGGAAGAACAATGGTGGGACTTTTTGGCCCTTCCACCAGAGCATAAACACACACATCCTTTTTCACTTCCGGGTCATCTGCAGGGATAGGATTGTGGTTATGAATCCAACTTTGGCCACTTATCCTTGAGCTCCTTCAGAAACTGAGGGCCATGAATCCATCTGCTGTTTGTTCATAAAGTCTTCCGCTCTCATCCCCACTTGATGCCTCGTCAGCTGGGTTGTCTTTGGTACTCACATATCTCCACTGATCGACATGAGTAGCTTCTCGGATGAGTGAAACTCTGTTTGCGACAAAGTATGAAATCTTTTAGTTTCATTGCAGATGTATTTAAGGACAGTTGTGCTGTCAGTCCAAAAAACAGATTTCTCCAATTTGAGATGTAATTCTTTTTGAAGCATTTGATCCATGTGAACTGCGAGGACAGCGGCTGTGAGTTCTAGACGAGGAATGGTGGTCTGTTTGAGAGGAGCCACTCTGGCCTTGCCTAAGAGAAAATGAGAGGTGGACATGATGGTTACTCTGTAGTCTTAAATAGGACACTGTGCCGTATCCTACTTGGCTGGCATCAGAAAAGTGATGAAGCTGCACCGTGACTGGATCAAAGTCTATGGGCTTGATACATCGAGGCACTCTAAACTCTGCCATTCTCTTTAGATCTTGTAGCCAGCCAGACCACTGTTTGGAAAAGTGTGGGAGAACAATATCATCCCAGCCCAATCTTCTTCTACACAGTTCTTGTAACAGCCCAGCTTAGCAGTGACTGTAAATGGGGCAAGAAAGCCCAGTGGGTCCATACAGGGAGCTGACCACAAGAAAGTATCCCTCTCCTTGTATGTGACTGGTCTTGAAGTGAGGATTTTTAAACTTGAATGTGTCACTTTGAGTGCACCACTGAAGCCCCAGTGCCCGCTCTACTGGGAGCTCATCTCCATCCAAGTCCATTTCCAATATTCCTTTGTATTGTTGGTTTATATTACTTTTTTATTTCCAATGATGTCAACCCAGAATACGCACCCCCCCCCGCGACAACAATTCACCCCAAAAGGCACGCCCCCAAGAAACAATAAATAGAAAAAATATAAATGATTTTGGAGGAGATTAATAGATGTCTACTCGCTCTATATCGTTATTTACCACATGAACATCAACATTCTTCACTACATTAATAACACACAAAGAGATATGATGGCTTATTAGTCATCCCTCCACTGTCTTCTTTGCATATCTGTTTCTACTTTAATTCCCTCTTTTCACCTTTAAGGACATCGGGTCCCAGCTGCCTCCATATGAACCCCAATGGTATCTGTCTATTAAATGTCCCTGTGTCCGCAGTGTTTGGACTGGCTGATACTGCTGTTGGTGACTCAGCAACTAGTTGCGCTGTGATTGTAGGGCAGTTCACATTTGACACTGAAGATGAATGTGTCATCACTGATAACTTTTGGTTTGTCGCACCAGATGCTATATTAACCGCTCATATCTCAATAATGTCCATGTACCTGCGCTGGAGTAGAGCGGAGAGCGAGAGCGAGTACAGAGCGAAGAACAAAGATGAGAGACATACGCAAGAGCGCCAGCGGGACAGAGAGAGAGACATAGATAGCGAGACCGAGAGAGTAGACAGTGACAGACACAGAGCGGCAGAGAGCCAGAGACCGCGCGAGGGGGGGGGAGACATAGCGCGCGAGCCCCCCCGAGTGCCCGCGACTAGGCAGATGAGAGAGACCGAGCCCGAGCGAGAGGCCTGCCACAGCTGAGAAGAGAGAGGAGTGAGAGAGAATGTTGTGTGGGGACATACCTGGCGGGGGGACATCCAACACTTCCTGCTAATTCAAATACGTAGCGAAAATTTGGGTGGGGTGTTAGGCCCAAACGGTGGCCTCTGCTATAGCGCTTAAACTCCACGTTTGCCTCTGGTCCCTTGTTTCGAGAATAAGCGGGTGTCATTGTAGCGGGGACTTGTGGAGGCTGAAGAACCGAATCTTACTAAAGGCATTTCCGCTGTGGACCTTCACCTACTATAAGCGTCCGTTTGCTGACTGGACGGTCGGAGTAAGGTCCGTGTTTGCCGGCGGTTTTGAGCAGGCGCTCCGCGTGTCCGGGAGCCTCATAATTCATGGGATCTCAGATTACGACTCTGGAAGAGCAGCCTGTACCGTATATTAGTCACCACTCCAAAGTAACCCCGTATCTCTTACGTACTTTTGGCTTAAGGGCTCGATCTCCACGTGTGATGGTCTGGGTTTCCTTTAGGCCCCCACAAGTGGCGCTGTGCTACGCTACTTTTCTAGTGCGGTCATGGATCCCACACCCGCATTCACATTGTATCATTATTGGTTAGCATACCTATGGGCTACCATAGGGCTGCCAGTTGCTAATTTACTGTAAATTAGACAAACTCTATAATAACTGGATGATGGAGAAAATATGAGACCAAATCATTGTAAATCGTTAATAATTCAATGTCTCGCTGGCTTTGATGCTAATGTGATGTATTCAGAGCAAATGCTAATAGCAGGGGTCAAGATTCTGTCACATTAGCATAGCAGCTAGCATCACAGGCTCCATGTGTGGGCCTGGGTAAACAACCGCATGTGCAGGGTATGAATTATAAACACTTGCGTTCCACCACGACTTGGTCTCTCATTAACGCTGGGTTACCTTTTTTATTCCAATAGAAGGAGTATTGTTAGTATTAGCAAGAAAGTGCTAATAGTTACAATACTGAGCGAGAGTTCGTCCTCTCTTTTCACACTTTTCTGTCTAAAAAAGCGGAGTTATAGATGTGACAGAGGCCAAAAAAGTATTAACAGTCTTGAGGGCGAGGAACTAGTTTCATGGGATTTATGACGTAGTTAAATGTGTATGTGGTGCTTTGGGTTGTGACCTATTGGCTCTGTCTCTAGCCCAGGGGTGTCCAAACTTCTTAGAAAGCAGGCTACTTTAGGTCAAGGTGTAATAAAATGTCTTTATTGGTTCACGTTTCACTAAGCTGAAGTTGGCTGAACGACAAATGTTTACTCCCCAAAGACATTAGTGCCATACAATCAAAGAAAGTAAGTAAGCGTTATTTATAAAGCACATTTCTAAAGACATTTGTAAAGTGCTTTCAATGAAAAGGTCATTGAAAGCACAATGTTCAGACTTCAGATATTGTTCCATTCTCTGCAGACGCGGCGATGTTTTTAGGGGAAGGGGAAACCGGAGCAAACGGAGGAAACCGGAGCACACAGAAGAAACCTACGCAGACACGAGGAGAACATGCAAACTCCACTCAGAAAGGCCCTGTTCCGACGGGGATCCGAACCCTGGATCTTCTGGGTGTTGCCCGAGTATATTAGAACAACATTTCTACACTGGCAGCGCTGAAGTTAGCTGGATGACTATGTAAACTTGTGTTGATGGTTACTTTGAGTTAGCAAGGCAGAGGACCGGGTGCAGATACGCAGAGGACCGTAATTTGCTCGAGGGCCTTAGTTTGGACACCCCTGCTCTAGTCTACGCCAGTGTAAAGACAACAGAGATTCATGCTGCTAAAATCCAGAACAATCTTCCCGAATATGTGAGACGGCTCGTTCTCTGATAATGGTTAAATCCAGGATAAAAGCAGTCCTGTTTAGCTGTGCAAACAACTTAAGGATTTTATATTTTTATCTTTCTCTTTAATCTACTGTTATTAGCTTCCTGTTCTGGAGGTTCTTTATAAATCCAGACTTTTAAACAGAGCTCTTAGAATTATCAACGACTCTTCTGGCCACCCTGGAAAAGCCATGTTCCAGCTTCTTCCCTCTGGCAGAAGATATCGTTCTCTGAGGTGCAGGACATCTTTTTATGCTAAAAGTTTTTTTACACAAGCTGTCATCAGTTTGAACAGGGCACTTTAATGATCTTGCACTTGTATAGAAACTGTTTTCGTCGGTCAATTTCATAGTGACATTGTTTACTTTGTTTTTTTTTCTGTACTTTTAATGTTGTTTTATGTCTGTACTTGTCTTCTGCACACTGGGAACTTTTGCTAATGTATTCCAATGTGTTTTTACTGCAAATGGTTAAATGAATCTGATTATTAGTGAATAACTTCTGTGACTGTTTCTATCTTGTTTTGTTCAGCACTTTTGAGTTGCCTTGTCTATGAATTGTGCAGTACAAATAAACTTGCCTTGCCTTGTGTGCATGGATGCTGAATGTGCATTATTCACCACAACATGCACGTATTACTAGTTTTTCTATCAATGCCACTTACGAGAATAGTTTCCTGCACCAGAAGGCGGTCCCGGGCCACAGTTCTCGCACCAGCACGGCCCGGGACAGGTTGGCTTTGATATCCGCCAGGAGCTGATTGGCCTCGGGCTCCAGGCGGTCCGCGTAAGGCAACAGGGCATTGTACACGATCTCCTTCTGCAGGACGAGCCCCTCCTTCTCCGGCGTGTCCTCCTCCATTACCGTCGTGGGATTTGTTGTTGTTGTTGTTGTTGTTGTTTTGGTCGTAGTTGTCATTTCCCGCCAAATTTCCAATTCGGCTTTCCAGCTGATCGCGCGCATTCAAAAGTGAGGAGAATGTTCTTGGAAGTAGCTGGGCATAATCCAAGACGGTGTCCAAGGCGGAAGGCAGGCGATCACTGAAGGAAAGTGTGTCACTCTATAATTGAGCTGCATGTTAATCCTCCAGGCAGCACGGCGCTCTGGTCCACGGTCCATGCTCTGGGTCCAACCGCGTCACCGCCTCCTTCATCTGCAGCGCCCCGGGTTTGACCCCAGGCCCAAAGATGCTGGGTGCTAGTAATGTAGATCTACTGTAGAACAATCAGAGGTAGTGCAGTAATACAGGTTTATTATTATTATGTACTATTATTTATTTTTTATTTAATTTATTGTGGTATTGTATTTCTTTATTTCACAAGACAGCATTTCAGGAAGTAAAATTCATCCTTTTCCCCCCCATATTTTATTGTCATCAAGCATTTACATTACAAATCAGGGTACATACAATGTTACAATTAAATAATTGTTTTAGAAAAATGGAGAAGTGTAAAAAGAACAGTTTGTTAAACGGGCAAGGCATTTTAAAATAGTAGAGATTTTAGCATTTTTTTCATACATTAGTAAAGTTTTTCTATTATTTTTAGAGACAAGATGCAAGGACTTAAAATATTCAACAACAACATTTAGAAAAACCGACATAAGTCCTCCATCCATTCTTTTTCTACCCCTTAATCCACTTCTGGGTCGAAGGGGCCAGAGATGCCACCCAGAAACACATAGCATGTTTCATCATTCATTCAAAACAAAAAAATAGGAAATTAATTGAAAAAAATCCATCTGATGGGGTTTTTTTTTTTAGATTAGTAGATTTGCAGACCCCTGTGGGTGTTCATGTATATTATGTTCCCTATTTTTATGTGTGCAATCATTACAAGGTTGTATTGATGAGAAATGTATTTTTTGCACACAAACATAAACAAATAAAATAATGAACTACCATAATTTCTGAACTACTACTTTTTTTCTAGTTATTTAAGTATATATAGGACACTGGTTTATTGTCAGAACAGAGGGAGGTGAATGAGTCATCGAAGCTAACAATGAAGCTGTAAAACACCTCGTCACTAAATCATGTTGTGACCAATTAAAACAGTCCTGTGGCTTCAAATCAAGTCCGGCAATATTTAATTTCTTTTAAAATGTTGCTGGTGCGGCTTATATACTGTACAAGTGCGGTCTATAGTTCAGAAAGTATGGTATGTATATAATTCTACCCATGGCTTGTATAGTAGGATTAAACTCCTGGTGTGATTAACCTACTGAGGATGTGTTGTTATAGTAATCTTGTTATATTGCAGCAACAATTATAATCTTTCTCTATAGTCAGTAATTTAGGCCTATAGAGCTTCATATACGTAACATTGAACTGGCCAATTGTACATCAAAGTCCTTCAGAAAATGATGTATTAAAAAAGTGCAAAAAACACAACATGACTACATATCCCACCATGCTTTGCTGTGTGTGCAAGTGCGCGCATTGGCTTCAAGTGAAAAGAAAAGCTGATCAATGCTGAGCTCATAACTGGATTAGGACACAGGCATTCAAGTGACCCACAGAGGCCGCCATGATGTCATCAATACGTCTGCCTCTCTCTGTTTGAATCACCAGGATGTGTCGGACCTGGTCATTCTCAAGGAGACACATTGGAACAAAATAAAATGTTGCTATGCACACATTATAACACTTTAGATCATCCCTCACTAATTAACAGCTATAGAGTCCCCTGTATGCGTAGGTTTCCTCCAGGTGCTCTAGTACTGCCTGAAGCGCTTTGTGAGTATGTCTGTGAAAGGCGCGAGAGAAAATATATTACTTTCTTACGCCCTTGGGTCTCAGAATATTGACAAACTGGGATTCTTACTGTATACATTTAATTTAAAGACACATACCTTTCTTCATGTGGAAAAATTGTCACTATTAATTAATTAATAATGTTTAAAAAAATGTAATTGCAAACTCAATGAACATTTATTTCACGTATTGACATATTTTTTTTCTAATGTAATTACGTATTTGATATGGATTGAATTATGTATAGTGTATTTATGTAGTTAACTCCTCATTCATTTTCCCATTGGATTTCATTATGGACAACACAAATCCATTATTCTCCTGCCTATGACCTCAGCGACCATGTCCTCAGTGTGTTTCTGGCTTTGTTCCATGTAAATCCTGTTACTTAAAGCCAAGCTAAGTCTCTCCACCGGTCTAAGATCACTGCTCTTGCTCGTAACGCAGACCCACGTATCCTGTTGGGCTCCAATGAAACACTGCTATTGTTTACACTACTTTTTCTCAGCTGTCAACAAGTATTAAAATACAAATACAATGCTTATTTTGTGGTTTTTTCGGGCTTCTATGCGTACGACCAGTGCAACATCCCCAGTGTTACATGTGGTGGGGGGGTAGTATCATGCTGTGTGGGGCTGCTTTTCTTCAGCAGGAACAGGCAAGATTGTAAACATTGATGGGAAAATGAATGGAGATACAGTATATGCAGGGGCTTTTAGGAAGAAAACATTAACTAAAATACATCCTACTATATAAACATAGCATCAATCCAACACCAAAACTGAAGGCACCGAATTGTAAAGAAGGTTATTCGACAGGAGAAATGAAAAAAATCGCATGTTTTTATATAGCACATTTAAAAACACAGCTGAAGCATACCAATGTGTAAACAACTAAATTAAAAAAGAAAACTAATTTACTGTTTTTATTTTTACTTCACCTCTTTAGTCTATTATTATAATTATCATGTTGAGAGCTGAAGAATTTTTGACCAATGGAAGTCTCAAAGCCATTATTTCATAGTCTACAAGTTGAAGTCTGAGATAGGTGCAATTAAACAAAATGGGATTTCAATCTGTAGTTTATTTAATGACGACAAGGTATATCAGTGTTGTTTTAGAGAGGTACTATAGTAAACCTAAGTATTGTAATATTATGACACTTATTATAATATCTTATTCCATTTTCAACTGTATAGTATTGAAAATGCTCAAAAACCATGACAACATCTCCTTAATTTATCAGTTACAATGATCGTCCAATCCGTTTTACAGCAGGGATCACGGTCCGATTGATTTAAAAACAATTACAATTGAGCGGTCCATGCAGTGTCTGTCAGTTTGGGTGTTTTCTCGGGGATTTTATTGACTAGGTTTTCTGCAGGATCTGGTGCATTTTGATGAGATAATCCACTGAACCATGAGCACCCATCAGGAGGCGATAGCTGCTGGAGGATTAGCTTTCTGTGCATGTTTAAGTCGGGCAATTATACCCGAACCAGAGAGGCCAAGTCTGCTTCGGAACTGTTTGGAAGATCCCCATTTTGTAAGAGATGGGTTGAATTTTTTGGAATTTGCTTTTTAAGGAATTTTGTCGTCTTTAGTCTTAATATTTTTATTTCATGTTGATTTTAGCTGGAAGAGCCTTTTGAGCCTTTTGAGACTGGCTTCTATTCTCTGATAACGTTCAAGTCTAAGTTTAAAACTGAGCTCTCTCACCTCTCAGCAAGAAGGTCCTGTGTTCGAATCCCGGTCGGAACAGGGCCTTTCTGAGTGACGTTTGCATGTTCTGCCTGTGTGTGCTTAAGTTTCATCCGGGTGTTCCGGTTTCCCCTACCACTAACAATACGCTCACTAGGTAAAATCTTCCAGCTGCGGTCCTGATCAAGCCGAGCATCAACATCTGGAGACGGGTTCCAGGGTGCTGTTACTACGGCAACCACTGCTCCTGACGTAAGCCTTTGTGGCATCAGGATGGGTCAAATGCAGAGTGTACATTTACATATTTACATTTACATTTATACAACTTTTTTTTTTAAACTGCTGTACTTAACTTTAAAAGCACAAGAAGATTAACCATGTGATACAATCCAGTTCATAGTTTTCACCATAGACTGTATAGAGATGGGCGATGCTAACGCGCTAGCTCTATAAAGCCTAATCGGGAAGTGCTCCTGGACAAAGATTTATAAAAACAAAATGTGCTCTTTATGGGAAGAAAGGTGGACTGAAATGGAAGAAGTTGAATGCTATATTTAATGTAATTATTCTGTCTATCTAGAACTTGTTTTTTTATTAATTCAAATGGTGACAGCTAATTTATCTCTGAAAATCCAACAACCCTGATTGAAACTCAATTTTTTTTGCGTTCAAGTAACACAACATAAAACTGATAATTTTCATACAGCAGAATAAAACAAACAAGATACAGACGTTTGATTAAAAATACAGATTGAAAAGGGGTTTGGACGAGGCAAAATCTTATTGAGCTCCAACCCGTAGATGATTTACATTGCAACAGTGTTCTTGCATAATATTTATAATGCATATTCCTTGTACTTTTCCCTTTTTTATCTCTTCACATCTAGTTTCCTGGTGTTTCCTTTGGGCTTTTCCGTCTCGTAACATTGACAGCACCTGTTTCTTGGACGCTGAGCCTCCTCCAAGCAGCTGTCTGTGGTCTTTTTCCTTTTGCTCTGTGTTTTAAAACGTGAAAGGATTGAACGAATGACGCGTTGGTGAGTGCTGCATGTTTGTGTGTTTGTGGTCACCAACTTCATCTGAAAAAGTCATTATTTCTCAAGCGCAGTCTGCAAATGGAAAGAATGAGACAAGACGATTTGAGCTAAAAAAAAAAAAAAAAGAATAGGGAGAAGACTGCAAGGCAAAAATCTGTCGAAAGCGTTTTCTGATGGTTTGGTCTTCCATAGTGTAGCTACTTTATATAACAGGTGATTATTTCTCAAAAATACTAAAATCAGTTGCCTGGAAGGAATTCTGAATATGGTTGATTTGCTAATAGCAGATTAGTGATATTGGAATGTTATCATTTTGGGAAATCACATGTGGCTATGTGCTGAATGCTCTGTATTGTAATCCACTTTAGC